GTTATCCCAGATTATATAATGATTTCTTATATTTACGTGAACACTAAACATTGATTAAAACTACTGAAGGATTTTATCACTTTTAATTTAAATTTCAACGTAAACCCGGAGTACCTTCAGCTTTTAATTATTATTACAATAGTAAATAAAGGGTTAAACTTTGACATCGGGACGTCAGTCACCTCAGTCCCCCGTGACGGTTAATGCAGCACCAATCATCTGCTACAGCTATGCCACTATCAGGCTCCATCAGCGAAACCGAGGTCCAGATGTACCTTTCATCTCCTGTAACACCAATAAAGAGAGATGCCATTGAAATTTGGGAAGATATGAAATCTCTTTTTCCAAAACTTACAAAAGTCGCAATGATATATCTTCCAATTGTTGCCACGTCTGTCCCAAGTGAGCGGTTGTTCTCGGAAGCTGGAGCAACCATTACTCAACAAAGAAATATAACTGTTAGGGACATTATCTAAGCTTCTTTTCCTTAACTCTGTGTCAAGACTATTACGAGGGTGGATTGAAAAGTACTCGGCCTAACACATCCATTCAATTCTAAAAATCAAATCTATCCACATTATTTAGTTCAGTTCAGACTAGTTCATTGTGTGAAGTTCGAAACGTGTGCGATAATTAGTTGTGATTTTATAAATTTATTAACAAAGTAATCGGACATAATTTCCGCGAATGGAGCAAATCGAGCAACGTGCCGTCATTAAGTACCTCCATAAGAAGGGGCTATCATCAAAAGCCATCCATGATGACATGGTCAGTACATTAGGCGATTGTGCTCTGTCATATTCATCCGTCAAAAAATGGATAGCAGAATTTAAGCGTGGTAGAGAGAATGTGAAAGATGAACCCCGCTCTGGAAGGCCTTCGACGTCAACTACTGACGAAAATATTAAAAAAGTACTTGATTTAATAATGGGAGACCGCAGATTAAAAATTAGAGAGATAGCCGAGATTATAGGCATCTCTTATGAACGAACTCAAAACATCATTGTCAACGAGTTGGGTTTCCACAAGGTGTCTGCGAGGTGGGTTCCGCGACTGCTTTCAGTTGAACAAAAAAGGACGCGATTGACTATTTCACGCGACTGTTTGGAGTTATTTGAAGCCGATGCAGATGATTTTTTGAATCGTTTTGTTACTATAGACAAAACATGGGTTCATTACTGTACACCGGAAACAAAACAACAATCAAAACAGTGGAGAAGACCTGGTTCACCACCCCCTAAAAAGGCTAAGTCGTCTTTTGTCGGCAAATAAGGTGATGGCTTCAGTATTCTGGGACTCGAAAGGTGTGATTATGATTGATTATCTTGAAAGGGGTCAGACTATAAACTCTGATTACTAATGCACCTTACTACGTCGTTTACGAGAGGAAATAAAAGAAAAACGTCGAGGAATGCTCAGAAGAAAAGTCCTGTTTCATCAAGATAACGCCCGTGTTCACACGTCAGTACAGTCAATGGCTGAAATTCACAACTGTGGCTTTGAACTGTTACCGCGTCCGCCGTATTCACCTGATCTGGCACCATCAGACTTCTTTCTGTTCTCTAACCTAAAAAATCACTTGGGAGGTCAAAGATTTTCGACAAACGACGAGGTCAAAGCAGCTGTAGACGCATATTTTGACTCTAAGGAAGAATCAGTTTTTTTCAACGGTCTAAATGCTTGGAAGGGGAGGTGGCAAAACTGTATTGATCTTGATGGTGATTATGAAGAAAAATAAAATATAACTGATTTAGTATGTGTTTATTTTCTTGGTTAGGCCGAGTACTTTTCAATCCACCCTCGTAAATTCTAAATAAACAATGTAATGTAATAAAATGTTATCTACATTTTATTACATGATACATGACAAAGATGATTCTGCTGCTGAAGCAGCTGTCATAACATCATGTCTTTTTTTGCGCCCGAAGCAAATATGGGCAACCCTCCGGAAAGCGGGGGAGGGAGGCGGTGAATGCTCATAGCATACCACGCAGCCGGCTGCGTGGTATGTGGAGACTTTTACCCACTAAACACCGCTTTTATGGATTGGCTTACCGATCTGACGAGAGATCTCTAAGCCGTATACGAACGCGACCCTCCTTGGCAGAAAGGAGGATGTAAGCGGCGAAAAGCCGCTTAGAAGTGTGCCTAACTAAGGCAGATTAAGGGATGTGTTATGTAGGCTCGGCCTGAGCCGCCAGGAGGCAGTTCAGGTCAGCCGAAAGCTTGTTGGGGGGGTCCGAGAGAGAGTTTCTCGGTCTGCGCACACTATAGCAAGTGTGGATAGGGGCTGCATAGGCAACTGTCTCACGAATGAGATGATTTGGGTGGGATTCTGAGGCTTTGAAAAATCTCTCAGAGAGTGATTTAAGGAAAACATCATGTCTAAGTTTGTTTTCTTTAACTCTGTCTCAGGATTGTTATATTATTCAAAATAACGTTTGTGTAATAAAATGTGTTTTAATGTAATAAAATGTGTTAATAATAGAGTAGAGTAATATATACAGAAATAGAGAGCCATCTCCTAGGATTTTTTGTCACCCAATATGAATAGTGTCGCCGTCTGGTATCATATCCCTTAAACTAATCTCAATATCATGTTGACCAGTGTTGCCACTTTAGCGACTTTGTCGCTAAATCTAACGAGTTTTTTGTTTAGTTGAGGAGTTTAATTCAATGTTTAGCGACAAAAAATATTCTGACGACTTTTAGCGACATTTGCACTTACTTCAATTATTGTTACCATCTGACTACTTTAGGCGTAAGGAGTACTTACTATACTCTATTCGTTAAAGAAATAATAAAATGTAAAGGAACCGAAACAAAGGTTCTATGAATGTCGCTTATACAATAATAAACACATTAAAAAAAGCACAACTACATTCCATCACATATTACAAATAAATCACTTAACATGTACAACATTATTATGCTCATATATATATATATATATATATATATATATATATATATATATATATATATATATATATATATATATTCGATTTTATCTTTGTTTCGCGTTTTTTTAATTAAATTATATTTAGCAACAATTGGGGACTTTTTTGTTACTAAATTAATGTATAACTATAGTTCATAAAAGATAGCTTGATCTCTGCGACAGCTGTCCGTAAAATAACGCCTATGAAGTCCTGAATTTCTTAGTACTACAGACAGTACCTGTCAATGTCATACTTTATGGACATGCCGACCTAATTAGTGCATGCCCATAAAGTATGACATTGACAGGTACTATCTGTACTACTAAGAAATTCAGGACTTCATAGGCGTGATTTTTACTGACAGCTGTCGCAGAGATCAAGCTATCTTTTATGAACCATAGGGACTTTTTGACGGCAGTCTAGAGACCTACGGTAATTCAATGTGGCAACACTGATGTTGACTATAGATAGTTATATATAGTTATGTATATACGGCTATCTATACTATAGGCGGTTATATTTATATTTTAAGGGATTAGGGTTTAATGAAAGACGTATTAGATTTCAGTAATATTAACATTTATTATTGATATATATATATATATATATATATATATATATATATATATATATATATATATATATATATATATATATATAACATACACGATGTAAAAGCGTCTATTTCGCACAACACTACACAAACATACAATGTGGTTCCAGCATGAAAATCTAAACAGACAACAAGAAACAGAGGGCTAATCCCAACTCAACCAAACTTATTGTAGCAACAACCGAAAATCACTTATAAACTATAATAAAACAACAACTTGCTCAGACTCCGGGCCGGTAGCCATTATGTCATATATAAAGTTGCTACTTGCCAGTTCGAGAATAACCAGAATCGGTGTAGTCGCTATCTAGCGCACCTTATAGAAACTAATGTTCGAAAGTTTATGCGGACAATGTATAAGACGGCACTAGTGTCTTTGCAAATTATTGGACCCCAACCTAAAGTATGGAAGTGTAGCCCCCATACTTTAGGTTGGGGTCCAATAATTTGCAAAGATTAGGCCAGGGTTGGATTCAGACCCTCAAAAATATTGTACACGGAAAATAATATTATGTATACTATTTTAAAAAAATATATCACGTTTGACGTTTCATGTTTCATTTTTTCCCATGTGCCAGGTTTTTGGTGTCACGCATCTAGTTTTATCTATACCTACGGTTCGTTTTTTGACGTTTTTTTATTTCTGTTTAAATTTTGTCTAAAGAACAACTTAGTGTAAGTTAAATTTTGAATATTGGTAACTGGTAACTAATATATTTTATATTCAATAAGGGTAAAACGAAAAGAGTGCAGAAGAAAAGGATCGATCGAGCATCGATTGACCAGAAAGGGAGCTAATTCTATTTTATTAAAAAGACGCGGTACTCACGTACAATACAGAAATTCTCGATATTGTAGGGTTAATATTAAAATGTAAAAGGACCCAATAATAATACAAGTCGACCTATAGATAAAATTATGGTATTTTCGCCTAGTATTATTACGATACTATGTACTACAAACTAATGTAGTAATGGTATAATTAGGATAATTATACTACGAAATCCGACCCTGGTTACGGCGTGTTTTGATATGACGTTTGTATTATGACATATGCGCTACTTTTTCTTGTATGAAAAAGTTACGAGTACAATATTTAGATGGGCCTATCCTTCCTTTTGAAATCATTGCGCAGATGTGAGTTTCTGAGAGATGAGTATCATATTTGTGCCATTTGCTGTAGACATTTATCGGTCCGTGGGTTTACGTGCGATGAAGTTCCTACAAAACTGTATCGGCGACTAAGAATTCCTGCTAGTGATAAGAGGGCTGGTTATTTTCTCGCTCAAATGTTAAGTATAGCCATTCAGAGGGGAAAAGTAGCCAGCGTTCTTGGCACTATACGGTGGGGAGCAGGATTGTATGATAATTTAGTTTAGTTTTTTTTTATTATAGATTCTTCGTTCGCCTGGACGCCTGTAGACCCGAGCTCTCCTGTCGCTACCATGTTGACAAACTCTGCACTTATTAGTGAACAGGCCAGACCGCCGTTGCTCAGTACTCCATTCAAGACGCGCTTTTCGGTGAGCTGTGATCAATTTTGGGTCTCGTAGGCCATCTTGGAATGAGGTTCGCTTCTCTTAATCGTCTTCTGACTGTTCATTGACTGACAGATACTCCTTGAACCTCTCTCAGCTGCTGCTGGACAGAAACACCGTCGAGGTGGCGATTTCTAAACTCGTCGAAACGATTAAACGGCCGTCTTTCTCAGAAGTAAGCCGGCGCCGACTGGTATCTGGCCTCTTAGAGTAAGAACCAGCCTCTTGAAATCTTCTGTAGCTCTTGACACAGCAGATTGGCTCAGGTTAGTCAACCGGAATCAGAATGCTCGCATGTGTTATTCAGTCAATTTCTTCATTTACTTTGTCTTTCTGGCCAAAAGACACAGTTCGTGGCTTAAAAACTTGGATACCGCGTTGTTTTTAATGTGCAAGGTGATTTTAAATTTATTAAATACTCCAAGCTCGTTACTCCACAAATCAGCGTACGTATTTAATAAAATTTGCACTCCATTTTCATAGCTGTTTACTATAATGTTATTATTATTAACTGATGTCAACTTAATGTTAAATTGGAATATAAAATCATGCCCGAAAAGTGGTGTCCCTTCATTTTTGATAACAAAGAAATTTAATTTTTTTCGTGAAATCATTATAAGTAGTTTATCTTTTTTACTGAAATCACCCAAAGGCGTAATTTTGTAACCATTACAAACATACATTCTAATATTACATTTATAATTCAATGCTACGGTAGGAAAGTGTTGCAAAAAAAATTGTTCGGACATAACTGAAATGCCCGATCCTGAGTCCAATTCCATACGTAAATGTTTATTGTTAAGAGCCCTCTTACATTTTGGTGTTAGGCAAATTAGGTATTTTACGCACCGAGCGGACGACGAACTACGCGAGTGGTACTTTCTTTCTTATCTATTCACTCGCTCGCACTTGATACCGTGAGTATAGCGACTGATCAAATGATCTTGATCTTCCACAATACCAGTTTTCTTAGGATGGAGTTCAGTGGATGGAAAATCTCATTAATTTATTATAATCTATTTTGATATATTTTTCATTATTTATGAACCTTAGTGTTGCAATAAGTACACATAAATATTTTAATTGTTACGTAGTAATCAAAATCCAAAAGTGGTCGTCTTTGTAGGTTTTAGTACTTTTACTGCATAATCTGGACCAGTCCACATGGCAAACAATTTTATTCTCCATTATTATTTCTCCAGAGATGGGATATTTAATTTTTTACGTTTAGTGACGCATTGATACTTATATTTATTTTTCCCTATTACGACTGGTAAGAAAGCTCAGCTACAATCAAAATCACTATAATTAGTTAACTATCTGGTATAGTAAAAATGTGCGAACTTTATACTGATTGAAATATACTGTACGAAAGTGAATACTTCCCATGATCAAAAACTGCGGTCGTAGTTGACGATGCTCTGGCACGAACAAAATAGCAGCGCTTATACGCCAATCGACGCGCACTACGATAGTATCGAAAGACCGCGAAATCAACTGACGTAGGTTCAACCTCGACAAGCGCTCGCGCCATAATGATCGCAGATTGCCGACACAGTGAAATATAAAGTAAAGTTACAGCCTATATACGTCCCACTGCTGGGCACAGGCCTCACCTCCTTTCTGAGATGGTTTTAGGGCAAGGAAGTCTCCGCCGCGCTGCCCCAATGCGTGTTGGCGAACTTCACATGTCTTCGAAATATTTTTTTTCTTATTCCTCAGACATGCAGGTTTCCTCACGATGTTTTCCTTCACCGCCGAGCCCGTGGTAAATCAGCAATTAAAATTGCAATTAACAATTTCATTGGTGAAGGCGGGGATCGAACCCGGGTTACTCGCTTTCTGTTATAAATATATGGTACTTTTATTTATTTATTAAAAAATAATAGTAACAATTTAAAAAGAAAAAATAATAGTATAGTTTAAGCAATTATTTATGATTCTTTGGTATAGATTTTACGTCAAAATGATGTAGAACTTCGGAGATTTGGGGCTTGTATCGAAGCTTTTCGGTCGTTAATTGAATTATGTCGATTTTTTTTTCCTTACGTGAAAGGCATATAACGAAAATATATTCTAGGGTTATTAAAGTATAGGATGTTTGAGAGTTAAAAATATTTTTTTGATGGTCGATATTCAATAGAAGCTCCCAAATAATAGTTTTGGCCTAAACATGCATCGGGAGAATGATTATTACTAAATAAATTAATAAGTTACCTATCTAAAATTTGCTCTGAGCTTATTGAAGTAGAGAAAACGAACTATTTTAAGAAGTAATTGTTATTTCAAGCAACGAACGAAAAGCATATAATTTCGACGAGGAAACCATGTAATTGCGCTTTTTTTTATAAAAGTAAGTAAAGTTACAGCCTATATCCGTCCCACTGCTGGACTCAGGTCTCCCCTCATTGCTGAGAGGGTTTAGGGCAAGGAAGTGTCCGCCGCGCTGCCCAAATAAATATTTTTTTTCTTATTCCTCAGACATGTAGGTTTCCTCACGATGTTTTCCTTCACCGCCGAGAACGTGGTAAATCAGCACTTAAAATTGCAATTAATAATTTCATTGGTGCCGGCGGGGATCGAACCCGGGTTACTCGCGTTCTGTTATATTTACAGCGAGCATTAACCACTGAGCTACCACGGCTCTTTTTTTTTATAATACTCTTAATATTCACTACCACAGTAATAGGAGCGAAAGTTTCATACATATTATGCAAACGGCATTCCGTGCGGTCCCCACAGTCTCTGACTGATTCTGTTTCCTCCGTAACGTTTTCACTTCTGAGACCGATAGGTCCTATAATGGCACTTCTGCACTATGCGTTTAAACCACATACTGCGCAACGATTGGTAACCTCTGTTTTACGCCCGTTACAAGATACACTCGCTCTGCCACCTCTTTCACTGTCCTCGGCGGAACGTGCTTGCGTACCGACCTACTGGTTCTCCAATAGCTGCCACCGCTTCGACAACTAGTCTCGCCGACTGAGTAGTATACCAGCTCATCCTTGATGCTAATATCAGTTTCACTGCTCACTAGCACCTTGGCCTCTCTCATATAAGCTGCCTGTTCAGCTATTTCCAAAAACTTTGCAAAAGATAGGCTTGATATATTTTGCTTAAATATTCTATCCTGTTCGGGGACCGTCCCCAAGCCTAGGACGAAACGATCAAGTAGAACCGTTTCTATGGCGGTATCAAAGTAGCAATAACTTGCAATACCTCGTAGTCGTGCCGCCCATTCTCCTAATGACTCACCTGGGTTTCTTGTCGCTCCGTAGAATTTCGCTTTGTATACGAAAAACTGTTTTAGCTCAAAGTGCTCTGTAATTTAGCGATGGTATCTTCCGCGAGTACGCAAGGAGTCGATACGTTTCATGCTAGAAGTTCGCTATAAGTATTGCACTTTTATTGTCTTCACTGATGTTATGTTATTGTTTTTGAAAAATTGCGTAAATTTTCCTTTAAAAATCGACCACTAATTAGTTTTTTAGTCAAAATTTGGAACATTTCCGATGTAAGCCATTTTTTTTATTTTCGGGTACTTGTACACACCTCTTCGCCAAATGTAGCGTATGCAATTGATATCAAACGATCGTACTGCCAAAAAACTGATTTATTACTGACTAACTTGTTGAGGTATCTGTATATAGAACGCGTTTTCCCTAGTTAAAACTAGACAAAACGCGTTTTTCTGAAGAGAGTCAGTTAAAACTGTTCCGACCGAGGTTAAACGACCCAGGCTTTGGTTCTTTTTTTTTTGTTTTTGTATTGTTTGCGTTACTTTGGACTTTGGCTTGCTTAATGGACCTGAGAATGAGCTATTATTATAGATAAGATATATCGAATCTGTACCAAAGCTGGATCAGTACGCCCCAACTTCACGTAGTCTTGTCTGCCCTACCCCTAGAGTGTATTTGTAAAGCCGTAGGCGCGTAGGGAGAGCAGCCCCCGCTCGCTGTAGCAAATCGCAGACAGCTTTGCGAGCCGTAACGGCTGAGGCAGGTTGCAGAAGGCGACCAATAAGCTGAAGCTGCGGAGGTGAGCATGAGTGCCTGTGATTTGGTACAGGGCGAAGGCGCCGTTGCAGAAATCACTGTGTCAATATTCCTGTATAAAAAACTTTTAATAAATACATATTTAGTATATCTTGTTTTCAATCCTAAATTAGTTTCTTTAGTGCTAGTTTTAACTAAAGCTCGTAGTGACAACTAGTTTTATCTGAAAATTAAATATATCAGTGGTAAATTCTAGTTTTGACTAGGTATATCTAGTTTTCACAAAGGCATTTAGTAAAACCTAGTTTTACTACGGAAAACGTGTTCTATATAACATATATATCAGTCTGTCTTACCGTTCGGTTTTGGTATGCAATCTATACACACACACACGCACACGCGCATGCGCACGCGCACACGCACGCACACGCGCGCACGCGCGCGCTAACACACACACACACATACACACACATACACATACACGCACGCACGCACGCACGCTAGCACGCACGCACGCACGCACACACAATATATATATATATATATATATATATAAATGATGCTGCCAGCATAGACTGACATAGCAATAATTGAAGAGACCTCTGACGTTAACGAACAAGTGCGTCTTTTAAATTCCATTTTAATGCAGCTTTACGAAAAGTATGCACCTTTTCGACCAATTAAACTTAAGCATCCGCCGGCTCCTTGGCTCACAAATGAAATCAAAGACCTAATGTTAAGAAGGAACCTAGCCAAATCCAAATTTAAAAAGGACCCCTGTGATATAAATCGTGAGAAGTACAGAATACTTAGGAATCGCTGCAACACGATGTGTAGAGATGCGCAACGACGTCACATTCATAAGACAATTGATGAATCTGATCCTAATAAGGTTTGGAAATTTCTCAAAAGCTTGGGAATTGGTAAGAAGCAAAATGACTCCCTTCCTCCTGAATTAAACATTGAAATGCTTAATCAGCACTTTTTCTCAAGTTCTAGTCACGTTAACAGTTGTAAATCTAGAACCTTAAATCACCTTCATTCTTTGCCAACTCCCGATTTCTCTCAATTTGTTCTACGTCAGTTTGCTGACTGTGACGTTAAAAAGAATATCACAGCTGTAACTTCTAATGCAATTGGTAGTGATAATGTCAGCCGAAACATGATTCTCCCGCTATTAGATATCTTGACTCCTATCATAACCAAAATTTTCAACAACTCTATAAATACAGGTACTTTTCCTACATTATGGAAAGATGCACAAATTATTCCATTACCCAAGAAATCCAATCCCAAGTCCTTCTGTGATTATCGTCCTATTTCCATATTACCTTTTCTTTCTAAAATTCTTGAGCGTCTTGTTCATCAGCAACTTAGTCTATTTTTGAATCAAAATAGCCTCTTAAATACATTCCAATCAGGTTTTCGTCCTGGTCATAGCACCGTTACTGCTTTGGTTAAAATTACAGACGACATTCGAGCAGGAATGGAGAATCGGCAATTCTTACTCTTCTTGATTTTAGCAATGCTTTCAACACAGTCGATTTCGACATACTTCTAGCTGTGCTCCGTTCTATTAACGTATCTCCAGTAGCAACCGACTGGTTTCGTAGTTACTTGTTTGGACGCCGTCAATGCATCCGTAATGAAGACACTTATTCCTCTTGGTGTTCTTTAGATGCAGGCGTACCGCAGGGTGGCGTGTTGTCTCCTCTCCTTTTCTCAATTTTCATACGCTCTATTACTTCAGGAATTTCTTCGCTCTACCATCTTTATGCAGACGATCTCCAAATATATTCTCAAACAAGTATTGAAAATCTTCCATCCGCCGTGCTATCCATAAATCGTGATCTCTCAGTTATTTCTGAATTTTGCACATCTTATGGAATCAAGGTTAACCCTAGTAAAACACAGGTAATAGTGATAGGTAGCAGCATACTACTACAAAAAATTACATGGCATACGCTGCCCTTTGTTTGTTTTGAGAATTCTATTATTTCTTATAGTAAGGTTGTAAAAAATCTAGGGGTTCTAATTGACAGTACAATGTCTTGGGCACCTCAAATTGAACAGGTAAGCAAGAAAATGTTTGCAGCTTGTGGAAGTCTTAAGAGACTCCGAAATTTCCTGCCCATTTCTACCAAAATTGCGTTAGCACATTCCATTTTGTTACCTATTTTAGACTATGCTGACATATGTTACACTGATATTACCATGGAGCAATTAAACAAGCTTGAGCGTCTTTAGAATATATCCATTCGATTTATATTTGGTTTACGCAAATATGATCATGTATCCCAATTTCGAAATCAACTTAAGTGGCTCCCTATTCGCCTTCGCCGGAATGTTCATATACTCTCTTTACTTTTTTGTGTACTGTTTGATCCGAAATTTCCAAGATACCTTAAGGAACAATTTCACTATCGACATGAAATTCATAACCGCAATTTGCGTTCAGTGTACAGCTTGGCTTTAAATACTCCTTACAACGTAACTTCATTTTATAATAAATCATTTACTTCACTAGCAACGCGACTTTGGAATTCATTACCACTTAACATTCAGAAAGCGCAATCTTTACAGTCTTTTAAAAAAACTACTTAGGGATTATTATTTGAAGTTCCCGTCATAATAATAAATTATATGTATTTTCTCTTCTCACATATACTTGATTTTTTTTGTTAAATTTTCTCTGCAGTATATGTTTGAATATATTAAATTAAATTTATTGTATATATTATTAATATATTTTTATAAATATTATTCTTAATAAATTTTTTTCATGTTTATTTCATATTGCACGTTGTACCGATCCGTCAAAATATAAAATTATAATGTCCTTTTGTGTTCGGTTTGTCAGGAAGAAATCGCTTAAAGCGATATGACCGCCGTTTGTAGTCATAAGTTTTCCGTTATTGTAATAACTTTGTTCAAATGCAATAAAGAGTTATCTATCTATCTATATCATATATATATATATATATATATATATATATATATATATATATATATATATATATATATATATATATATATATATATACTAAGCTAAAATTTTGTTCTATATTCGGATATATTGCAAGAAGTGTCTGTTTATGTTTTAATGTTGATTTTAATTAAATTTCAGATAGTGTTCAATCATCTAAGAAGAAAGGAAGTGAAGATAGTGAAACTGAGAACAATAACCATGAACGGTGTGAATCTGAGAAAAAAAAATAGGACTAGTGTCATGAACTGTAGTGTTAGTATGATTAGTAAATATGACAAAAGAAGTGCACCAGCGGCAAGCGTGTCTTCAGGCAGTGAATGGTCAGAAAAAATTAGTTCATCTGGCGAGAAGTATTATTATAACCGTGTCAGTGAATTGTCACAGTGGGAGAAGCCTAGGGAATGGGACTCACAGAGGACATTATCAAAAGATTCTACATACTCTTCCAGAAGTAGTAAGTGTCATTTTTATCACTTATATAAAAGCAGGTGTATGAATAAAGCTGTAGAAACAAGTGGTAAAATTAAAAAAATTTGTACAACCCACTTCAATATAAATAAAATGAGAACATGTGGAACTTATTTCCCCGCTTGCCCCTACGCACGTTTGCCTTTAGGATAATCCGCTACTGTGTATGTGGAACTACCTGTGCTATCCAATGTTGAGAACGAAACACTGAAGAATATACTTACTTCAAGATACTTTAAGCTCGTTCTGCGTAGATGGCACCAATTATTATATTAGTTGATTGCATGTATATAAATATTAGTTGATCGCAGCCTTTATGACATCAGGACGTCAAACGCCTAAGTACCCCCGTGACCATGGGTGCTGTAAAGTGCCCGAAACGTCGGGAATTTAAAAAAGTTAAAATTGAGTGCGATAAAATCCGTAATATTAGTTTTATGATAATTAATATATAATAATTACAATATAATTTTTAACAACTTTAATATTAGTTTTAAGCCATGTGTAGTATTCGCGTAAATGTAAAAGTCATAATGAAAAAAAAATTCATTTTATTTATTTCAGATGAACCTGAAGCTGTTCTACCAACTATTGTAAACATTATTAAGTCATCTGTATTCCTCAACAGCACCCGCAAACAAAATTTCAAATGTAAAACTAGAGGTAATCTTTTGTGTTCAATTTTACCATTAATGTTGTTATTAGTTAGTTATTTATTAAGTATCTTGATTATATATCAATATGCTTGTTTATTTTATTTTACGTTACAAATTATAAAAAACATACACATGCTCGTAGGGTTGTAAGCTTTAATAGCAAAAAAATATATGTATGTTATCGTTACTATTACAGTCTATTAAAATCCACTGCCTATTAAAATCCATTGCAAACATAGGCTTCCTTATTATAGGTTAGATTATATAGATATATATATATATATATATATAGGTTAGATTATATAGATATATAATCTAACCTATAATAAGTAACCATAGATTTCTTCAGAGGGGGGATATTGGCCATAGTTGCCACGCTTGGCAAACAGGCTGGCAACCGCGGTTTTTTTATTTTTAGTCGTTATTAGGAAGACACTGTTGCCCATCTCCTGATTTGATTCCCCCTGTCGCCTCGTTCTTTTATTCTAACACCACCACCACACGGTAACGTGAAATTTACATATGTAATAATAATAATAGTTTTAGTTAAGTAATTTTATGATCCATAAATAGTACTTTATTTTTCAGGTGTAACTCGTCGCAGATTTCTAAAACTAAAAGAAAACTTCAAAAACCAAAAACAATAGACTTCAATAATTACAAAAATGTAATGATTGAGAAAAAGTAACTGTGTTATTAAGCCTATAAACCTGTTACTAAATGCTTAGTGGAAATACATTTTTTTGCTTTTCAATTTAAAGAAGCAAGATACAAACCCTAGGAGAAAGATGCTTTACAATAGAAAAGATACTGACTCTCACTTTACACAAACTAAATCTAAAAGTATTTTGCATTTCAAATCAAATAAGTGTACCTCCCCACAGAAGGATACGATAATATATTTAGAAAAATAATTCTAAAGTCTGAAGTTAATGATTTTCTTTTTGAGCTATTTCAGCACAACTGTCACATGACATCGATGTAGGTTTATTCACGGATTTTATGATGATGGCAAAGAGCGTGAGCGAGTATGCTCACAGTTTGTATAATGTTGTCAGAGTAGCTTTCTCAAATTATAAGCATCCTTTATCATAATGTATTTACTTTTTGTAGAGAAACAGAAAACTTATTACAACAAATAGAAATTATTATAAAAATTAACAAGAGACTAAATTTAAAGTTGTGTCTATATGCGATGTACAACCAATATTGGTAAATTGATAGACATAAAAGAAAAATATTTAGGAAACCATGAAAAATGGAGACAAACTCTCAGTAACAATTTTCTGATGAAAAAATTAGAATTCACAATTGATGGCAACAGAAAGATAGCTAATTGGAGTCACCGGCAAGCTTCATTGAGAAGGTGCCCAAATTATAGATTAATAGGGGTGCCCTATACATTAATGGCGCGACATGTTGTGCCAAATTTAGTTCCAAAAATAAAAGTCAAATATGAAACTAAAATTTTCAGCGAATTCATTGCTGTTAGTAATGCATTTGCACTTTCGTTTATGGCAGGGACATATTAAATCATAAGACTTTAATTTACTCGTAATGTGTAATGTAATGTGTTAAACTAGTCGAAGTTCAAGGTTAACATAATGTGCTCACTGTTAACATAATAAGTTAATGTGTAACTAGTTCATAATATAAAGAGTGTTAAAATAAATAAAAAATATATATGTGCGCAACCCGAGTTCGAAATCGGTAATTAAATAAGATCTAGATATACATACAGGGAATGCTTGCCTATTTGTGGGTCTCGACAACAGCGCCACTTAGCGGGTCCAATTGTGAATCAAAACCATCTAGGTACCCACTCAAACTTACACAAAAAATTTTATCAAAATCGGACCAGCCATTTTCGAGTTTTTGTGAGACTACCACTACAATTTTTATTTGATGAAAGACAGTTTTAACGACATTTGATTATAATGTTTGTTTCGAAACTTTAAAGAAACGAAAAAGTTACTAAAAATAATAATAGTTTAATATATTTATACTATAATTCGTGCCAAATCGATTGAGAAAAACGAACGATGACCTCAGATATGAGGCGAGTGTCAAAAGGCGTAACTTACAAAATCTCAATTTAAAAATGATAACAATATTTAAATATTGATATTATTCACACTTTCTAAGTCAGTACATGTGTTTTTTTTTTCTTAAACAATATTTTCTGTGGTTCCTATAAACATCGTAAAATCTTACGGTACATCGCTAAAAATGTGTTGTTTAATCATTATAAAAATAATTTAAAAAATAATTAAAAAAATCATTATAAATAAAGAAAGTACTACATATAAAATGTGCATATATATTGAAGGTTTGTAACCCCTGGTTAAACAACCGAAAGGTCATTGTCCGTTTTTCTCAATCGATTTGGCACATAATATATATAAAAGATAAATGTAGGCCCCTTTCCACATTGCTACATTGCTTACAAATAAAACTGTCGTATTTTCTTTGCCTGATGTGGCCGTCGTTCGTGTAGAAGCATAACCACGCATCCCAACTACCTTCGTTTACTTTGGATCATTTGAAAAACTCGTCTCGTCAATATTCCGGATTGTTTCTGGTTTTTTTCCTTCAATCTATATATATATATATATATATATATATATATATATATATATATATATATATATATATATATATATATATATATATAAAAAGTGTCACGTTGTTTGTCCGCGATGAACTCCTAAACTACTTAACCAATTTTAACTGCGCTTTCGGAATATGGGTTTCAGCTGACAGCATTTGACCTAATAATGATAATCAAAAATTACCTTGAATCCCAGGGAAGAGTTGTAAAAAATTTTAAGAACAACATTCCTGGTAAAGACTGGTTGGCTTCTTTTTTTCACGACATCAATCTCTTTCACGGCGACTTGCTAACAATATCAAAAGAGTCCGAGCTCAAGTGTCGGAAGATGTCATTTCCAATTTTATAGAAAACATCGACAAGGAACTAGAAAGCGTTCCACCCGAAAACATATTCAACTACGATGAAAGCAACCTTTGTGATGACCTAGGAAAAAAGACTATATTATGCAGAAGAGGAACAAAATATCCGGAAACAATAGTAAACGCTACAAAAGTTAATTTTACTATCATGTTATGTGTCAACGCCGCTGGGGAAACAGTTCCACCGTTCATCGTTTGTAAGTCGGATCATCTCTGGTCGACTTGGAATGAAAATGGTCCCGAAGGCGCTCGATATAAAAGGACAAAGAGCGGATGGATGGACAGCGCAACTTTTGAAGACTGGTTTCTCAATCATCTTATCCAGTTCTTAAGAAGAAAAATGGTAGAAAAGTGGTGATTGGAGACAACCTTGCTTCACACATTAATAAATCAGTTGAAAGAGTGTGAGAAGCACAATGTTAGTTTTAATTGTTTGCCACCCAACGCTTCACATATACTTCAGCCACTAGACATCGCATATTTTCGACCTTTGAAGTGCAAGTGGCGGCAAGTATTGCTTCAATGGAAGAACAGTCAACTGGGTAGGAAACTGTTGACTACAGCTAAGGATCAGTTTCCACGACTATTAAAAACGGCCAAGGCGAAAAGACCAAGGCGAATTTGATTGCTGGTTTCAGAAAGACAGGCATATACCCCATTGTCAAAGAGGAACCTTTAGCTAGATTACCCAAACAAGATCGAATAATAAACGCAGGTCTTATAGGGAACTCTTTTATGCATAAATTGGTGCAGTACCGAGCTGAGGCGTGCCCAGAACAGAAAACAATTAGGAAAAAGAAACTTAATGTACCACCTGGAAAATCAATCTGTGTCACTGACCTTGCAGAAGCAGGTCCATCCGGTTTACAGCAGGCTAAAACTATATAAAGGAAAAGAAAAGGGCAACAAAACGAAGACAACGCAACGTCTCTTCATCTTCAAGCTGCAGTGACAGGACCATCAGTCTAGCTTCTTCCACTGAAGACCACATAATGCCTTATGACTCAACTATGTGAGTCAGATTAGTGATACTGATTCACCTGCATTTCGAAATTCGCATGATCTTCAGCAGGAGAGTGAAGTAGAAGAGGAGTGTGGCTCTCCTGTTCTTCAAGTAACAGATGTAGAGTAACAGCTGTTTGATGCTTTTAAATACTTCACTCCCCTTCAATCCATTGAGGATATACAGATCGTTGAAGAAAAATGTAGTGAAAGAGAGAAAATGCAGGTAGTTGTAAAAGATGTGCAAAAGATGAACAATTTTATGGTTGGGACCACATAGTGTGTAAGATTGGACCTCTAAAATTGGAGAAAAGGGATGTTTCTCGGTTCCAGAAATGAACGTGTAGTAAGAACTAAGAGAGAAACTAAGAGAAGAAAATTAGATTACCTATGCTACTAGTAAACGTTGATTCTCATTTAAATAAGACTGAAATTATAATTTAATTAGACTGAGAAGTAAAATATATGTTTGCAAATGTTACCTAATTAACCTAAGATAATATTATTGTTGTATTTCTGTAAGTTTGCTACTAAGTTGAGATATTGTTGAGAAATTTACTTATTGTAAATATTTTTGAAATATATAAGTAATATTAATTTTACATCGTGTTTTAATTTATTTCGAACTTTTTTCTTACATTAAATCTCTCTTGGATATTAAATCTTTCCGCCTTTGATGGTTTATTCAGCCAATAATAGCTGCAAGTGCGATTTTTCAGCGATAAAGTTCATGGGGTTAAATTAACCCTTTCCTAAGAACAACTTTGGCAAAAACTTTAACTAAAAAAAAACAAGTTACTGTTATATTTCTAAAATACACTTCACATCTTGTTGAGTACATCCTCGAGCTTCTTTATAACGTATAAGAACACTAAAAGGACAATACGAATACAAATCACAGATCAAATTCGTAAAATATCTGAAAAAAACAACTAAGGTAACCCGCCTTTACGGTACTCATAAATAACACATTTCCGCAACGGGGGAAGGGTAGGGGGGCTTCCCATGACCTCCTCCCCCTCCTCCTCCCAACAGCATAACGAGTACCGGACGTCTATAGTTTAACCAATTCCTATCAAAAGGCGGGAAACAGGAAATGAAAGTTTGAAAGTTCGTACGAAAACTTGTTATTTTTGAAGTAAAATCAAATAAAATAGTTCTTAAATCTAAGCATACTAAGTCGTGGGAACCGGTTATTTGCATCTATAGTTATATTTTTTAAATAATCTCCATTTTATTATCCTGGTGCAGCTGGTGTAATCAATAAAATTAACTTCATGAAAGTAAATTGAATATTTCAGTTTAGGTCACCAAAATGGTTCGGCAATATGTAAGAAAAAAGGCTGTTGAAGCAGTTAAAAGCATAAGGTTGTCGGGATATGAAGCATCAAAAGGTTTCCAAATACCAAGAACGACAATGATGAACCATGTCACTGGTCGAAGAGGACAAAAATCTAATAGCCTTGGTAGAGCAACCGCACTTCATGCAGAAGTGGAAGAAAAATTAGCCAATTCTTTGCACGTTATGGAAAAGAATGGCTTGGGACTATCGCGTTAGCAAGTGATGGAGCTTGTCTCAGATTATGTAAAAGTGAACAAATAATATATATATATATATATATATATATATATATATATATAAGTTATTTATAGTAGAAATAATAATAGATTTGTCCTTCTGACTATGGCATATGAATTTATTTATTATGTTTTAGTATTTTAAAACCTTTATGCTTTTAAACTGCTTCCAACAGCCTTTTTTCTTAATATTGCCGAACCATTTTGGTGACCTAAACTGAAATATTCAATTTACTTTCATGAAGTTAATTTTATTGATTACACCAGCTGCACCAGGATAATAAAATGGAGATTATTTAAAAAATATAACTATAGATGCAAATAACCGGTTCCCACGACTTAGTATGCTTAGATTTAAGAACTATTTTATTTGATTTTACTTCAAAAATAACAAGTTTTCGTACGAACTTTCAAACTTTCATTCCCTGTTTCCCGCCTTTTTGATAGGAATTGGTTAAACTATAGACGTCCGGTACTCGTTATGCTGTTGGGAGGAGGAGGGGGAGGAGGTCATGGGAAGCCCCTCTACCCTTCCCCCGTTGCGGAAATGTGTTATTTATGAGTACCGTAAAGGCGGGTTACCTTAGTTGTTTTTTTCAGATATTTTACGAATTTGATCTGTGGTTTGTATTCGTATTGTCCTTTTAGTGTTCTTATACGTTATAAAGAAGCTCGAGGATGTACTCAACAAGATGTGAAGTGTATTTTAGAAATATGATAACAGTAACTTGTTTTTTTTTAGTTAAAGTTTTTGCCAAAGTTGTTCTTAGGAAAGGGTTAATTTAACCCCATGAACTTTATCGCTGAAAAATCGCACTTGCAGCTATTATTGGCTGAATAAACCATCAAGGGCGGAAAGATTGAATATCCAAGAGAGATTTAATGTAAGAAAAAAGTTCGAAATAAATTAAAACACGATGTAAAATCAATATTACTTATATATTTCAAAAATATTTACAATAAGTAAATTTCTCAACAATATCTCAACTCAGTAGCAAACTTACAGAAATACAACAATAATATTATCTTAGGTTAATTAGGTAACATTTGCAAACATATATTTTACTTCTCAGTCTAATTAAATTATAATTTCAGTCTTATTTAAATGAGAATCAACGTTTACTAGTAGCATAGGTAATCTAATTTTCTTCTCTTAGTTTCTCTCTTAGTTCTTACTACACGTTCATTTCTGGAACCGAGAAACAACCCTTTTCTCCAATTTTAGAGGTCCAATCGTACACACTATGTGGTCCCAACCATAAAATTGTTCATCTTTTGCACATCTTTTACAACTACCTGCATTTTCTCTCTTTCACTACATTTTTCTTCAACGATCTGTATATCCTCAATGGATTGAAGGGGAGTGAAGTATTTAAAAGCATCAAACAGCTGTTACTCTACATCTGTTACTTGAAGAACAGGAGAGCCACACTCCTCTTCTACTTCACTCTCCTGCTGAAGATCATGCGAATTTCGAAATGCAGGTGAATCAGTATCACTAATCTGACTCACATAGTTGAGTCATAAGGCATTATGTGGTCTTCAGTGGAAGAAGCTAGACTGATGGTCCTGTCACTGCAGCTTGAAGATGAAGAGACGTTGCGTTGTCTTCGTTTTGTTGCCCTTTTCTTTTCCTTTATATAGTTTTAGCCTGCTGTAAACCGGATGGACCTGCTTCTGCAAGGTCAGTGACACAGATTGATTTTCCAGGTGGTACATTAAGTTTCTTTTTCCTAATTGTTTTCTGTTCTGGGCACGCCTCAGCTCGGTACTGCACCAATTTATGCATAAAAGAGTTCCCTATAAGACCTGCGTTTATTATTCGATCTTGTTTGGGTAATCTAGCTAAAGGTTCCTCTTTGACAATGGGGTATATGCCTGTCTTTCTGAAACCAGCAATCAAATTCGCCTTGGTCTTTTCGCCTTGGCCGTTTTTAATAGTCGTGGAAACTGATCCTTAGCTGTAGTCGACAGTTTCCTACCCAGTTGACTGTTCTTCCATTGAAGCAATACTTGCCGCCACTTGCACTTCAAAGGTCGAAAATATGCGATGTCTAGTGGCTGAAGTATATGTGAAGCGTTGGGTGGCAAACAATTAAAACTAACATTGTGCTTCTCACACTCTTTCAACTGATTTATTAATGTGTGAAGCAAGGTTGTCTCCAATCACCACTTTTCTACTATTTTTCTTCTTAAGAACTGGATAAGATGATTGAGAAACCAGTCTTCAAAAGTTGCGCTGTCCATCCATCCGCTCTTTGTCCTTTTATATCGAGCGCCTTCGGGACCATTTTCATTCCAAGTCGACCAGAGATGATCCGACTTACAAACGATGAACGGTGGAACTGTTTCCCCAGCGGCGTTGACACATAACATGATAGTAAAATTAACTTTTGTAGCGTTTACTATTGTTTCCGGATATTTTGTTCCTCTTCTGCGTAATATAATCTTTTTTCCTAGGTCATCACAAAGGTTGCTTTCATCGTAGTTGAATATGTTTTCGGGTGGAACGCTTTCTAGTTCCTTGTCGATGTTTTCTATAAAATTGGAAATGACATCTTCCGACACTTGAGCTCGGACTCTTTTGATATTGTTAGCAAGTCGCCGTGAAAGAGATTGATGTCGTGAAAAAAAAGAAGCCAACCAGTCTTTACCAGGAATGTTGTTCTTAAAATTTTTTACAACTCTTCCCTGGGATTCAAGGTAATTTTTGATTATCATTATTAGGTCAAATGCTGTCAGCTGAAACCCATATTCCGAAAGCGCAGTTATGTGAGCTTCAAACGCCTTTTCTTCCTCTTCGTAAAAATTGTAGGTTTACCTGGTTTGTTAGGGTGCTTCTGGGTTAATTTATTTTTTCAAAGTGCTGCGAGGAATGTTAAATAACTCTGCAGCCGCTCTTTTGTGTGAGCATTTTGGTTTGGATTGCATCCAGACATTTTTTTAATCTGCCTGGCTTTCGTCTGTACACGGATGGCATCAGGAATGTCGCTCTGTGTTTTAATTCTGTAACAAATTGATCAAAAATGTTTAGTTCTCCACTAATAAACCTTGCAGGGTTACTTTAGTCCCCCAGGCCCAAAGTTACCCGAAAAGGTCAATGTATACCGATTTTCTAGAGCTGTCATTAAATCCCAACACATAAGTAAATCGTCTTTAAAAAACAATTGCCACACTCTTACATACATGCCTAAGAAAATAAATAACAATCCAATTTGAAAACTTACCAAAATACAGCTTCAGACACCAAAGTTTGCAGCAGAAAAATATGCCGGTTTTACTGTCAAAAGTTTAAACGGCTCGAACATGTAGCGACGTGCACCCGAATCGGTAAAACAATTCCGCAAGTACGCGTCTATATCGCCATCTATTAGTTACTAAAGGAACTACGACGTTCGATTGTGTGGTCGTGACACAGCGGTCATTTAAATCATTTTCTCGATTTGGGCCAAAGTAATGCCCTAGGGTCAAAGTATAACTTATTTCTACCTATTATACTTATTAACTTCTACGGCAATAATTTTTTTGTAAAATTATAAGTTATAACCTCACTTTTATACAGGAATATTGACACAAAGTTACTTCTGCAACGGCCGTACGGTGTTGGGAGGGGGGTCATGGGAAGCCCCTCCTACTTTTCCCCCGTTGCGGAAATGTATAGTTTATGAGTAATAATTTTTTTTTGTAAAATCATAACCTCACTTTTTATACAGGAATATTGACGCAAAGTTACTTCTGCAACGGCTTCGACACTGCGGGAAGTGCAGCCCTTTCTGTTGACTCTCCCTCCGTGCTTACAGCTTTACAAAACACTAGGGGTAGGGCAAACAAGACCACGTGGAGTCGGGGTGTGCTAATTCGGTTTTAGAACCGATTCGACCAATCTTATCTGTAAAGTCTGGTTGCCCTAAACTCTGCTATGATAGTAGGCAAATGAAATAATGTAATGTGAATTGTTATAATTTCATTTTCTAAAAAACCTGTTCACTGCTCTCCACTGAGACTCAATTTGTATGTATATAAGTCCCGTCTCCACACAAATGGATTGTCTGGGTCCGAGTGATTAACTTTTTTATAAGAGTATCTCTGTTAAAAACAAATTGACATATCAGCGTTTCGTTATATGCAATTTTTAGTGAAATTTATTTTTATCGTTATTAATTCAAAAGGCATTTCTGAAATCCAAAAACAGTTTAAATGGTTCGAGCTTAACTCTGACAATCCTCCTAAATTGAAAACAAAATTAAAAAATCGAGTACCGGACATCTACTTCATAATACGAGAACAAATTGACATATTTGCGTTCCGTTATTACACAATTTTTAGTGAAATTAGTTTTTATTGTAATTATCTCAAAACGAATTTCCGATATCTAAAAACAGTATAATAGGATCAAGCTTAAGCCTAACAAGCCTCCTAGACTAAAACATTATCAAAATCAAGTACCGGATGACTATAGCCAAGCCTAGGAATTTCCGAAAATTCTTAGCGGATGTCTACACACTATACACCTACATGCCAAATATCAAGTTTCTAGCCTTTATAGTTTCTCAGATTTCGTGATTAGTCTGTGGGTGGTATTTCGCTGTTTAATATTAAAAAATGTATAGATGGCTGCTAGAAAATACGAACGCATTAAGTCCAACTACGCAATAACTGAATTTGCATAAAGTCCAATATATACAGAAATAAGTACCTACCTAACTATATGCGTTAGAATATAGGTAGGTAGATACTACCACTTACTTTCTTAAAATGTTTTCAACTTCTGGTTCGGGGTGAGTGCGTTATATTGGCGCACTAACCCCATTAGGTGCTAGTGGCGCGCTTGCCTCACTTCGTTTGTTTTAGGTTATAAAAATATTAGCATCGCTAAAGTTGTGAAGTTGAAGTTGTGTGTGAGGTAGTAACAAAATATATAAAGGTTTATGACAAATAATATTTACAGAAGCAAATTACCTGGTTCAAATCAGTCGGTGGTCGTTTTTTCTTGAGATTCGTACTCATATGCACAGCAGCAGCACTTGTTAACGTGGAACCCACGAGAAAAAAATGGTCAAAACAAAATGGCGAATCACATCGTACTATAGTCAACCAAATCTAATAAATACTTTTTGACAGCTTATTACACAAAGCATGCCAACCAATAAATGGGAGAGTACAATATTCGATTCATAAAAGAATCGATATTGGTTATTTAGAGTTGTAATCATTTCAGTTTGGTTTGAATAATACCAGAATGAATTAGAACCGGATAATTTAAAACACAAGATTTATCAATTTCTTCATATTTTTTGTTACTGCTTATTTCTTGAGGCAAAGGTATAAAAATTTAAGATTGAAACTAGATTAACCTTTTGAGCGCCAAAGTCGCCTATACTTGACCAGCACCTGCGAACTCTGAGCGCCAACGACGTCTATAGTTGACAAAAAACCCGGCCCACAAAAATATGAAATATAGATATTGGAAAAAGATTACTGGTATTTTAATTCTACACTCTTCAAAAAAAGAATAACCCAGCAACATGTGAGTATAAAAAACAAGTCTCCTAGAACCACAAGTACTAAGAAACGTTGAACTACAAAAAATGGATTTTTATCTAAGCCAATACTATGTCCAGCACGCCAAAGTCGTCTATGTTTGACCGCTAGTGTTGTAATACGTTAGGCATAGATTTATTGAAAACTATTCATAATTAAACGCAAACGTGTTATTTCTTTAAATTATTATTGATATTTGAATAATACAAAAGGTAAGAAACATAAACCTATCATCAGCTACATAAATAAAAGAAAAATTCGTCAAATCAACTTCGCATAATAAATTTAATATCTCAACTCTGGCGCATCCTTAGCGTGTCATCGATTATCAGATTCATTAGGCGCCGTGGTCAGATAGACGGCACCCTGATGACGTCATAAACGAATAGCGGAAAAAGTAGTGCAGTAAAACATGAATGATTCCTCAGAACTCATTCGCATTTTGAAAAGCGTCGATGATGATGAATTTTTTTATTTTAATAATATAAAATTACAAATAATAAAATGTTTTTTTTTTCTTAAGGTATGAAGAGCAATTTGTGTTGTGCGATTTTCTTTCTCAATCTAGGGTATTAACTGAAACCTCTATTATATTTGCTGATGACATTTCCATTCTTATTCTGCATACAAAAGACTAGAATTTAAATAATAAATTGAATCAAGTATTGAACCAGGTTACACATTGGCTGACATCACAACCTAGAGATTAATTTTAATAAAACCAAAATTATGCAATTCCGACCAGTTCAAAAATCACCACTAAATATCACTTTTACTTATAATAATATACCTATACTATAGGAACTGTTAAAAACTTAAACTTATTAGGCCTGGAAATCGACTGCCATATAAACAGGAAAGCCCATATAAATAAAGTAAAAAAAGGCATATCAAAATTCACTTACGTATTACGAGTGTGGCCGGTGAAGAAGGAAAAGGGGAGATCTCCCGCCGGGCAAGGTGTTCTGCCCGGGGAGCGGCCAACGCTCCGTGTGATAGTTCGGAGAAATTCTATATATACTGTTTATAATTCGGAATGTTGATAGCGCGATTTAGACTTCGGTGTGTTTTGGCTCAGCGCAGCGCTCTGTCAGCATATTACGCATACACATCTTCGTGGCTGTCATACGGTGTCATGTTGTGGGGAAATAGTAAAGATGCACAGTAATTATTTATAATGCAAAAAAATTTATAAGAATCTTGGCAAACATAAAAATTCCAGAAAGTTGTGAGCCCCACTTCACAAAGTTTAAAATGTTGACTTTGACTATTTGACTACATTATTATTATCCAAATTAAAGTTATATTTAATTAAAAAATGTTTCTATAATTTAAATTAATATTTTGATACAAATATTATTTAATTTGTGTGGACAACTTCGGCCTGTGCCTATCTAATTTAATTTAATTTTTTTATTCAATTATTATTTTTTACTTATTTTTATTTATAATAATAATTATTATTTTTTTACTTGACATTGTGATTATTAATTTAATTAAATTGACATTATTACAGAATTTTAAAATAATATAATCTAATGTAATTTATTAATGAAATCTAATATTGTAGTTTAAAAATAATATTTAATATTTTGATAATTGCTACGCCCAAACTGGGTTCAAATGCGTACTATTTTTTTTAAACATCACATCTATTGTTATCATTTGATTGCAATAAAGATTATGATTATGATTATCTCAAAAACATCTGGTAGCATCAAGCATCATATCAAACCCCCATGGTCATAAGAGCGTAAGACTTTTCTTCTGTGCTTCACTCGGCCTACGCCTCCCCCGACATATAAAATATTTTGAGTCGATCTCTGTATATTTTGGTTAGATCGATTTCGAAATCGATACAAAACGTACGACACGGCTACATCTCTAAGAAAGTTTCAAAAAAGAAGTTCAGCTACGCCGTTGTCGTCCAGTCGTGACAGTGACGTGAAGAGTCGTGTTGTGGATTGCTATTATTTTATTGTTATTGTTTGTTTTTATTTATGTACAAAGTATATATATAAAGAGTCATTCATTGCATAAAAAAACCAACAAAATCAAGTTATTTTGTGTTATCGATATATCAACTCTTGGCAACACTATTTTTTTCGTAGGTATTTTTGTTTAATTTTCGCTTTGGCGTACAGGACACGGTAAAGCGTTTTTGACGTGGCGCTCAAAAGGTTAAAAATAAATTTATTCAATCACTTTCAGTTCAACTAGTTGAACTGTCGTTATTTAGATTAATTCTTATTTGATTTTAAATGATGCAGTCAAAATTAATGTCTCTTTCAAAGTCATCCATAGTATTTTTTTTTTGTTTTTCCTACCACTTTTGCCCAATCATCCCTTGTGACATGGGCATATGATTCAACGAATATAGAAGAAACAGTCCAAAAAGTTAAAGCCGAGTCACAAAATAAGAAGACAAACACAAAATTACGCACAGTGTGCTCCCAAAATGGCGGGAGATTGAAATTATGTATTGGTTTTTTTTAACGCGGCCTTGAATATGAGCTATTTTGCCTACACAAGTTGACGTTGACAAAGTAAAAAAAATTAACTTGTTTTATTCATGACTCGCGTTATTTAAGGAATTTATAAAATAAAAATTTAATAAAACAAATAATACATTAAAAAAAATTTATGATTCTATTATTTGAATATTTTTTTGATTATTTGAATATATTTGCCGATTATTCTCATAACAATGAATTTTAATCAACCAAACACTACGGTAAGGTAGTATTAGTGATAAAAAAACTATAAACTTTGTAATGAAATACAGATAACTTCATAATTCTTCGGATTTACGTAAAAGGTTATTTTAAATCGTGTGAGTACTCTTGTGCAAAGTTATTAATATTAAGATTGTAAAGTGATGCATGTTTAATTTTACTTAAATTTTTGTATATTCTAACCATAAGTTAATTAGTAAATAAGTTTTCATATACCAAAATTGGTGAAATATGTGAATCATTATTATTTTTATAAGAACATCTTTGTACCATATTTCTTGTGAATAAATTTATTTATTTATTATTTATAAGGTATTCTTAGATTTGGTTGACTATAGACCCAGTGGCGACATCTTAAATTTTACTTTGAAACTAAAATTTGTTGTAGAAGGACAGGTTATGGTGCGTTTTTCAAATACTGTATTTGTTTATGAGATATTGAGATTCGTCGCACTCGCAAAAAATCAAAAATCTTGCCCCAACTGACCTTATGTCAATTTCATTCTGCTCACAAAAATTGCAAATAGTATCAATGTAATCTCTGTGTGAGGTTTGACCTTTCATTGTGTGACGGCCCAATATTATTATTAATAATTAAATTCAATATAAAGGGGCGTCAAAAATAGTCTTAAAAGATATATATTAAGCAATTAAGTTAAATTAATAAACATAAAGTTAATATATTTCAGACATTATCCCAATAACATAGTAAATTAAAGGCAAAATTATTGTTTTTCGTAATAAATAAATTTATTTAAAAACTTGAAAAAATATTTAAAATAAGATAAATAATAGAAATACAAGTCAAAAAATATTATAAAATTAAGTTAAATAACGTTTATAAGATAATTAGAAAATTTGTTAAAAATTGTTTAAGTCATGGGAGGTGTTCGTGTATAAAAGAAAATTTTTTTAAGTTGTGGAAGGAGTTCACATAGATGAAATTTCCTAAGTTGAAGGAGTTCATGTATTAAAGAAAATTTTCCTAAGTTATGGAAGGTGTTCACGTATAGATGTCTTGTATGGAGGAAGCTGTCGGAGGTACATACCTGCAGTTGTACATATATATGGGGTGGTCGGGAGCCCGACTGCCTGAAGTACTGTAGCACAATGACTAGTCCTATATTAGGGACTTATGATATTAAACTCAATGATACAAAAGCAATACTATAGAAGGTCTCCATGATGAAATTTGTATTACAATAGTAGGGTCGTGGGTTCGAACCCTATATATTAATGACTTATGAAAGTAAGGTCTATGATACAAAAGCAATACTATAGAAGGTCTCTATGATTAATATGCATTACAATAGTAGGGTTGTGGGTTCGAACCCTATATATGAATGACTTATGAAAGTAAGGTCTATGATACAAAAGCATTATTATTGAAGGTCTCCTTGATGCATAAGCATTGTATGGGGTGGTCGGGTGACCGACTGCTCCTAGTACTGTAGCAAAATGACTAGTCCTTATTAGGGACTTGAAAAGGAATATTATGGTGGCGTGTGTGCTGCTTCACGAGCAATTGGTCCGAGGTAAACTTGGACTCGCTAACCGATGTGTCCTAGACATATCATCTTAGTGCCGGTGGTAAGCGGGTTTGTTGTAGCAATACGGCTTTCCCGTGGACATCGCACACCCATACCGTTTGTGGGCGGCGTCGTAGCGCATAGCGATGCGTCGTCTATATTTCGGATTGGGATGATGAGTGTGTTTGGTAGCACTTTTAAG